TCGGCTCGTGTCTACCATGTCTTGTGGGAGGCGAATCAGGCTGCCGACTTTATGGCTAATTGGGCTTACTCTCAGCGGCTCAATCAGTGATTTCCTAATTCGTCATTCCTTCCTTTTGGGATTACTGGCATCTTCGCCTTGGATGCTCAACAGACTCCTTACGTTTGTCAATAAGTTCTATTTTCATTTATGTTTTCAGTTAGTTTTGTGGGGAGTCCCTACTTTATTTTCATATCTTTGGTGGTGAGTCACCGCATTGCTTTTACTTTTCTTCTACTTTCTATTTCTGGAGGTTGGTCCCCCTGCCTTGTACTTTTTTCCTTTTAGTTATATATACACGTAAGGGTCCTACCAAACCCCCCACCCACATTGGGTGGGTTTGAAGAAAAAAAAAATATAGAAAATGCTTTACAACCACTAGGGTCTCATGGACCTTTATGTGTTTGAATATTACTACAGTGACAAAAGTTGCCTTTTCCCTGAGTGTAAAATGATATGGATGCTCATACATGACAATATTTAAACGTACAGTTTTCCAAATGTTCCATCTGATAATGAAAAGTACAGTTTCCGAGATGTTTCATTTTTCTAAATATTGGGGTCTTTTTTTTTTCTGTGATAGTTACGGTATTACTCCTTGGGGGTACCCACGAGCAAGCTTTTAAGGTTTTTTTATCCTTCATTGGGGTTGTTTGTGGGTTCTTTATGCCCATTACTTCTCGCAGATCCGTGTACCAATTGGGTTGTAATTGTATTCTTGCTATGTTTGATCCTCAAAATGTACAACACTTGTTATTTGCTAGAATTTATTAAGAGTACACAGTAATTATAAAATCATTTAACTTCCCGGAAAAAAAACCACGTCTGATCAGTTGTCCTAGCCTGCATAAATGCGTGGGGGACAAAAAAAAAACTAAGCTTTATCTTTAACCGACCGCGTACGAGAAATGAGGTTGATCAGACAATAATTTACTTGCATATATAAATGTGCAGAGGTTGGAAGACAACTCTTGGAGACATGTTCCTCTTCACTATTCATAGAATTGGGACTCGTAAATTTTGGGTGAGGGTAAATGTTTTATGGCAAGATAGCTTTAGCATTTTGAAAATCCTGCAACTTATTTTCATGTTCTTCAGAAGTAAGAAATATCAAGCAAATGAAACAAGGGGCCAAAGAAAAACAGCACAGAGGCTTCCCTTGCTTCTTGGTGGACTCAGGACTCCATTTTTTTTAAATAGTTTTTTTTTTCATGGAATATTCTTCAAAAAGACTGATGACTCTTATCTTTGTATTGCAAAACAAGGGATTAAAGTATTGATCGAGATGTATCTGGACTACACCTTTCCTTCCAGGACTAATACATGTTCCGCGCAAAGATGAGTCTCAGTCGATTCAGAAATGTTTCGAACAATTTGGCTGACGTGTCTCAATCGTCATTGAATCGCAATATATTTCCTGATTTCATTTTTTGACACTGGATGAATCTCTCGCAATAGTAAAATGATCAAGTGTGCGGCGGGTAGCTGAGTAGCTCAGCAGCTCACCCCTTGGCACCGGTCACCACTCAACTATTCCAATTTTTTGGCAATATTGGAACGTTCATACTGAGCATATTTAGAAGCGAATTAACTCCGTGGGCCGTGGCTGAGTCTCTTGGAGTTCCCAGGCATGAGGGTTTACGTGTTGGTTCTTCCTTTGGGTGTAATATTGTAGGCTCCACAACTTGGGTGCTATCTACCACCTTTCTTAAGGAGTGAAATGCATAATTTCACTTTATCTATGGCGACGAGCAACGTTATTGGATCTAAAAATCTGACTTAATTCACTGTGATATTTAAATTGACTGTAAGCTCTATCAAACATTACAATTTGGTGTTGATTCAATGATTTCTATTAAGTTACATCATTATGTTAACAAATTAAGTCAAATTTTTAGATTCAAGTAGCATTACTGCTATGGTGATTCATGACTTTGTAGTCAAGTGATTGGACAAATCCGACCGTCTTGTGTTTAATGCCTACTTTTTTTATAGGGTTAATCTCATTTTACACCCCGAAAAATCGTTCGAATCTCAATTTGCACCCTCAAAGAGCAAAAATCTCAATTTGCACCTTTAAAGATAGAAATTTGTATCAATGTGCACCCCCAAAAATCAAAAATTTTAATTTGCACCCTCAAAGATAGAAATTTGTATCAATGTGTATCCCCAAATATCAAAAATCTCAATTTGCACCCTCAAAAATATAAATTTATATCAATGTGCATCCCAAAGATAAAAAATCTCAATTTGCACTCTCAAATATAGAAATTTGTATCATTATGCACCTAAAATTAAATTGATAAATTATACCTAGATCCCCTCATGTTTGTCACTTAATCATTTGGACCTTTTTATATTTAGAATATTACTCCTACATCTCATGACATTTATGCACGTACAACATGTAACTCATTTTCATTGATATTTGTTAATATAACCGTTAAAAAATATAATTTTATCCTAATAAAAAATTATAATTTTATATTGCCCTTATTTTATGGGTCCAATATACTCTAAAGTTCAAAATCAAGCTTACCATTTGATTGTCTAATAGAATGTAGATATTTATATAATATTTTTCATATTTTTTTTATATAAATATCTACATTCTATTAGACATTCAAATGGTAAACTTGATTTTGAACTTTAAAGTATATCGAATCCACAAAATAAAGGGTAATATGAAATTATAATTTTTTATTAGGATAAAATCATATGTTTTAACGATTATATTAATAGATATCAACGAAAAGTGGTTATGTTTACACATGTACAAACGTCATGAGATGTAGGAGTAATATTCTAAATGTGAAGGGGTTCAAATGATTAAGTGACAAACATGACGGGATCTAGGTATAATTTATCAATTTAGTTTTAGGTGCACATTGATACAGATTTCTATCTTTGAGAGTGTAAATTGAGATTTTTGATCTTTGGGGGTGTACATTGATACAAATTTCAATCTTTGAGGGTGTAAATTAAGATTTTTAATCTTTAGGGGTATAAATTGAGATTCGAACGATCTTTCGGAGTGCAAAATGAGATTAATCCTTTTTTATATAACAAGTCCCGAGTCCGAAGAAAGGGAAAGGTTTGTCTTATGATTAAGTGATTAGATTTTAAGGTGACAATGAATGAGCTAGTAAACTACTCCTTCCATTCCTAAATATCTGTCGTTTTACACAATTTTTTGTTTCATAATATCTGTCGTTTAATGAGACCAAAACATAATTAATATTTTTTCTTCCAAATTTATTCTTAACTTTTCAATGCATTAGATTTGGTGGAGGCTAAGTGCCTTTCATATTCCTTTCCTTCCCAATACGTATTGAATAAGAGTATTTTAGTCTTGTGCAATTATTTTTTACTCATATTAGAGTTATTTAATATCTTCCTTAATCCCGGTGTAAAAATCTTAAACAACAGATATTTAGGAATTGAGGGAATAGTATACAAGTGAACCCACACGGCCAGAGCATTGGTGTGGGTCTCAAACATCTTGAATTGATTTTTAACTGATCCTTATAGGTAGCGGGTGATTATAGATAATTACAGTTCACTCTACAGTGGTGGATCCTCATGTGACCTTATTTTGAAGAGGTTGTTCGTTGCCAACAAAAAATACAAAAAGGTAGTAGTACCCAAGGCTTACACAGGAAAACCAAGTTTAATGCTAAGATCTTTTCTACGATGAATAATGTTATTTGTACTTAAAAAAATTTAATTTAATTTGTTAACGTAATGATGTGAAAAGTGATATAGTCTCAAGAAAAAAGTCCAACGATAAAATTTACAATAATGCTATTGGATTATGTCATTACCATATCATCGGATCAATAAATTAGGCTAGATCAGTTTTAATAACAAGAGCATTATTCTTTGTATGAGTCTTCAAATATGTTATATTTTATGTTACAATCTTATGTACCAGAGTCCACAAGGAACTAAGGCTTGAGGTGTTCCCCCACACACATCCTTCCCCCTAGCCTCCATTGTTCCAGCAAAATAGAATTAAGCTCAACTACCACGAAACATGCACGTAGTGTTGGAAAAATTCAAGCTTGATTCTACTTACACTAGGGTTTCGTGCTTGCAAATTTTCTTTTCAACAGTAAAGAGACTAGTTCTTCTTACAAGAATCAGAATCTTGAAATGCACTCTCTCTTTCTCTATTTTATTTTTTATTTTTATTTTTCAATATTATCTCATAGTAGGAACCTTTGATGAACCAATGGCCTTTACTTGGAACCAGACTCAGGTGGTCCAGAGCCTATGTTCATAGACTCGTAGGGCCTATTGTCCAGACTCTCGACCACCCCCACCGGCCACCATTACCAAGGAACATAAGTACGAAATATTAACTATTTATCACTTTGATCCATGTTCATTTTCTAACACTCTAATTTTTGTAATTTAGGTCAAATCAAAACCCATAAATGACATTTTAAATTGATCACTAGGCGTGATCACACGTGTTTAAAGGGACTACACTTGAGGGATTTCTTTAAAAACTTGAAAGATCAAAATGGCACAAATTACAAATTTGAAAATTGAAAGTAACATCTCAAGTGTGGTCAAACAATCATTTTCATTGTCCGATTTAAATTGCAAATGTCGATCATACCGAAATGACACAAAATTGAGAGCTTAAATTTTTGGAAAAATGAGAACCAAATTGACCCAAGGCCCATATATGAGATATTTTTACTGTGTTTTACCCTTTTCCAAAGCTATCGATCACTCCAACATGCATTGAAATATGTAGGGTTGAGAACATATTCCCTAGATTGAGTCCAAACACAAAGTAAACACTACATTTATTTATCCCACCACAACTGACGCCATAATTCAATCTTCCTACTAATTTTGGTGAATTTAAATATAGGCAGTAGTCCCCAACAAAACACAAAAACCATAAAACAAGCAATCAGCTGGACAGAGAATCAGATTTCACTTCATCATTTGCGCTTCAGAGCAAGAAACAGCAGATTTCCTTTCTTGTATTTGGACTCGATCAAGGGATACTTTGCAGCTTTCTGATAAAAGCGAGTGAAAAGTTCATCAATTATCTCGCTTCCAAAGTGTTTTGTTAGCACACCCTCCACGGCAGCTCTTATGTGCATTGTACACATCTGCATATCAGCTGGTCCCTCGACGTTCAATATTGGGTCTGTCAACTTCATTCTCTCAATGTTAAAATATCCGTTTCTTTCCACCAGTCTTGCCATCTCGTTCATAGTAGTTGTATACACAGGCAAGTTAAATGTGTCGATCAGAGCCTCATTGATTAATCCCTGTCATATGATTAGCCATGAGACTCATATTGACAACTTCATCATTTTTGTGAAAACAGACATTTTATTTTTGAAAAAATCACAAGATATACATTATATGTCAATGCGTGCCATAAAATTCATTGTCGCTATAAATGGTACTTGTTTACCTTCCTTGACTTGATTATAACAAGATTTTCAGACCTTCAATTTTAAAAATTCAATAACAATATAGTGTCTTCCCCACAGCCCAAGAAAAAAAATTGAAAACCCAAATGAAAGTAATGAACTTCGTTATTAAATCACAATTTATATCAAAGCAGAACATATACCTACAAGATTTCTCCCAAAACATTCTCTGAAGTTTGATGAAATAGATCTCTAGTTTTTTGACAAATCAAATTGCATATTTTACTACATTATCTCACATAATTTTTGTTTTTCATCTGGAGCCTAAATTATATCAAAACTCACCTCATGTGCCATATCCATAAGGCTAGATCCCAGCTCATCGTACAGAAAACCGCCTGCGCTCTGAGAACGATGAAACCCATCCTGAATAACCGTCATGACAAGTAGCATCATCCCGCCCACTACTATCTCTGTAGCTCTAAAGTTCAAGAAGTTGTCCATGTCCTTGGCAAATTGAGCTGCATAGGCATTAGCTACTTCATCAGAGGCCCTAGTGTAGTAAATTCTCCCCTTATTCCATGCAGGAGAGTCTTTGTCTTGCACCTCTTCTGGCACCTTGGAAAGCCAGTGAAGTGCATAAGAGGCATGGACTACATGGAGAGAGGACTTAGGGAACAACCGGCCATGGAAAGAACCTGGCACACCGGCAGCAAAGTAATGTTTTTCGGGTGGGAGGGTGGTGAAAAGGGTGTTGAAATCATTCATGGCATGATCATTGAAGAACACTTGGAATTCAGGTAGCTCTGAAGCGAGGGCTTTGGACTCATACTTCCTCCCCACGGCCTCTAGTATATTTTGCATGGCAATGAAGGTGTTTGGTCCAACTGAACAGCCTACGTCCGCGATGCAGAAAGTGTTTGGAGTGGAAGAGAACTTCTCAATATCAAGCTTCTGAGCAATCGCCTCGTCGAGCATCGCCTTAGTGATCACTGAAGCTTCCCTCTGCAAAACAGTTCATGTATGATTTTGGCATTTGTCATATCATTGTCGTCAAAGTGATCTAGGACTATTGCTAGGTGCAAAATTGGATAAAGATTTGAAAGTTGACAGCACTGAAATCTCGCAAAAAATCTGACCCATATTCATTTAGTTTTGTTAATCTGACCTAAATGAATATGTGTCAGATTTTTTGAGTGAATATTTGAAGATATTCAATCTGAACATGTTATAAGACTCCATAATAGAGAAACCAATGAAATGACTTGTTTTTGGCCTCAAAATTTCAGAAGGCATAAATGAAAGAATAATCAAAATACAAAAAAATACTTACCAACAGTGGTATCATGACTAGTAGATGTATTAGCCATAGAAATAGAGGAATTTTACTAGAGGTTCTCTATTATAAAACATCTACAAAATCCATCTCAAAGAATTGAGAGGCTTGTTAGGAATCAAACAGTAAGCTATGTCTTCATGGAAGGATAACTGTTTAAAAAAACTCCAAAAGGCTTGACGTGGTCATGTATCAGTAAGTTGGGTGCTATAAAAACTGTGCAGAGGTTCATGAAGGAATTTGTGGATCAAACCATGAAGGAATTAGTGATCGCCATAAATTTGACATAGTGAGTAGAATGAGACGAAATGATCATATTGCTCGTTTGTTTTGAAACATATAACAACTTGAGTGTGAGTTACATAATAGGTATTACTAGTGATAATGTTAGCCTCGATTTTGGACTGAGATAAGATAATAATACTCGAGATTCCATGAAAAATCATGAAGGATTTGTAGGTATGAAAGTTTGTGCTTAGGGGATCTTGCAACCCTTTCTTCGGCATATTATCATGCTTGTGGAGGTCTGGAAAGCTCTCAAACATGTAGGATTTCAAGGAGGCTCTCAAAGTAAGTTGTTCGACCCTATACCACGAGTCAAGAGATAAGATGTGCATATGCACTTTTTCTACACATATATACATGTATATAAATGTAAACAAATGTGAATATAAGTATAGATCTAGTCACTTGACTTTGGAATGGAATGGATGGTGGACTTTTTAATACAAACAGGAGGCAGATGACACATGAACTGCAATTTGAATTCTTCTCAAGAACGGTCAAACTTAGGGTTTGAGGCTTCCTATGGCTACGTTGCATCAAAACTTACAAACATCAAGAGGTAGGTAAACAGATAAACTTCTTTCATACAACTGTCATATTACTACACATAAATCTACCAAGCTAAAAATCTTTAAGCTAGATCTGGTTATTGCAAAATTTGTTTTCATCGTGCGCTTTTTGACCCATGAACAAGTTGTTTTTCAAGATTCTTGGTTATTAATTATCATTTGTTGGCAGTAGATCAAATTTTTGTTTTGATTGGTTTGGTGACATCATTGTTAAAAAGACCTATTTTGATTGGTTAGTTGACATCATTGCTAAAGCTTATTGAATGATACAAGTGGAGTAATTTCATTGCTTGAATGAGATGAGAGTTCCTTTATAATTGGTTAGATAATATCATTGCTAAAATCTTATTGGAGGATACAAGTGGAGCAATCAAATGTATTGGCATGGGTCTCTTGGTTTTGAGATCATCCTGAAAATTGCATTTGTTCAATTTTCATTCTCTTTTTGAAAGTATGAGAGGTTTTCTTTATTGGGGGTTTGAGAGGGTAAAGTTAAGTGGGTTGTACAAGGGGTTAAGGGCTTCGATTTTGAATTTAAACTTGAGTGGTGAGACTTATACCATTGTACCCATTTTTTTTCAATAGTAAAGAAAGGAGACCTGATCACATCTCATGGACGTAGGCAATATAATTTTGCCAAACCATGTAAATCTTGGTGTTGTGAGTTGTGCTTTGATTTTATTTATTCTGCTTATTTATTTTTTTGTCGTTGTACTGATCAAATTGCTGCAAATTTAATTCCCAACAAGTGGTATCTGAGCTCCATGTTCGTTCGGGAGGATTGTAATTCTTGATTACCAATGCTCAGTACAATGATAGGAAAAGACATCTCGATTGGCAAATTCAAGGTGGAGACCTTTGATGGAAAACACAATTTTAGTCCGTGGCAAAACATGATTAAAGACATCTTGGTGCAACAAGTAGCCCAAAGCAATACTCGAGAAAGACAAAAAATCAGAGGACATGAAAAAGGAGGATTGGGAGGAACTTGAGTTAAAGTTGAGTACCGTCCATTTTTCTCTTACACCAGAGGTAAAATATAATTTTTTGAATCGAACTTCTGCTCTGGATTTATGGAAAATATTGGAAAAGATTTATATGTCAAAATCTCTCACAAATAAATTGTTCCTGAAGAAACAATTATATCAATTGCGGATAGTAGAAGAAACAAATATTGTTGATAATCTCAATCAGTTTAACAAAGTTGTTACTCAACTTTCTAGTGTTAAGGTTAAAATTGTAGAGGAGGATAAGACTATTCTCTTCTTGGCTTCTCTTCCATCTTCTTTTGCTACACTTGTGATTACATTTTTGGTTGGGAAAGATACTCTCAGTGTTGATGATGTGACGACGGCTCTCTTGGAGATTGAGACATTCTAAAGGCTAGGAAACAATTCCTAAACAGAAGGGTTGATGGTCAATGGTGAACCTAGCCCGCAACAAGGAAGAAGTAAAAACAAAGACTCTGGAAATAGAGGAAGGTCACGCACAAAAATCAAAAGGGAAAAGTGGCAACAAAATTAAGTGTTACTACTGCCACAAGGAAGGACATATAAAAATGGACTACTATAAAAAAAAGTGAGATCTAGAGGACAAAGGGAAATCTCTGAATTCAGATCAAGGAGGCATTGCACAAGATGGTTTAGTGGGTAATGGTGATTTACAGTCAGTCACGACATGCATGAATTATCTTGCTGAAAAATGGATATTGAATTCTAGATGTTCATACCACATGTGTCCATATAGGGAATAGTTTGATATTTATAAACCCTATAATGGAGGAACTGTTCTAATGAGTAATGATGCAGTTTGCAATACTGTTGGGATTGAGACCATTAAAGTTAAAATGTTTCATGGTATGGTGAGAACACTAGGTGATATATGACATGTCCCTGACTTGAAAAAGAATTTAGTTTTTTTAGGTACACTTGAGTCAAATGGTTTTATTTTTATGACAATGGGCGGAGTCCTAAAAGTTGTTAAAGGGGTCATGATTGTCATGAAAGGAAAACGACAGGGTAACTTGTATACATTGGTAGAGAGTACTGTTATAGGTAAAACAGCTATGACAACTTTGTTGGTTCTAGGTACTAATGACACTACTTTATGACATTAACGCCTTGGCCATGTGAGTGCAAAAGGAATGCAAGAACTTCACAGAAGAAAGTTGTTTGATGGGGAAAAAGTTTATAAATTTAATTTTTGTCAATATTGCTTGTATGGTAAACAATGCATGATGAGCTTCAAGTTCGGGAAACACACAAGCAAAGATGTGTTGGAGTACATACACTCAGATGTATGGGGACTCGTACCAGTTCAATCCAAAGGTGGAGCAATATATTTCGTGACATTTATTGATGACTTCTCTAGAAAAGTATGAGTCTAATTTATAAAGCACAAAAATGAAGTTTTCGATAAATTTAAGTAGTGGAAAGCTAAAGTTAAAAAGCAGACGGTTAAGTACCTATGGACGGACAATGACATGGAGTATAAACTCCGGGAATTTAGGAAGTTTTACCAGAAAGAATGGATCACTTGACATTATACTACATTAGGTGGGCCACAACAAAACGGTGTAGTAGAAAGAATGAATAGAACCATTTTAGAAAAAAGGAAGATATATGAGACTTCTTGCAGATTTGCCAAAATTATTTTGGAGTTGAGACTTTTAACATAGCATGCTATATTGTTAATAGGTCATTGTGTTCAACTATTGATGCAAAAGTCCTTAAGAAGGAGTGGACAAGTAAACCAATTGATTATTCTAATTTAAGAATATTTGATTGTCCTGCATATGTTCACGTGTAAGAGCAGTAATGATTGAAGTTAGATCCAAAGTTCAAATAGTGCATATTTATTGGTTACGAAAAAGGCGTGAAAGGTTATAAACTTTGAGATTCAATTGCACGACAGGTTGTAATTAGCAGAGATGTTGTTTTCAATGAAGAGCATATGCTAAACTTAAACAGGGAAGATACTAATAAGCAGGTAAAGGCTCATGCAGAAAAATTCTCAGTCCAGATAGAACTAGATGAAACACAACAGCCTAATGAAGAGGATGATGTAACAACATCCTCTCAGGAAGATACATCTGGTGGTGATGACAAGCAACAAGAAACCACAACTCTAGCTACTGGAAAAGAGAAAAGAACCCACAATGCACCAGTCAGGTATGGTTTTGTGGATATGGTTTCTTTTCCATTGGTTGTTGGTAGTGGAGATCCATCTTCTTTTCAAGAGGCTGTCAATGGCAAAGCAAGTGAAAAGTGGATGATAGCAATGAAGGATGAGATAAAGTCTTTACATAAAAACAACACTTGGGAGCTTGTTGCAAAACTCAAAGGGCAAAAGGTGATTGGTTGAAAATGGGTATATCGAAAAAAAGAACATACAATAGAAAATGAAGGAGAAAAATTTAAAGATCGTCTTGTACCAAAAGGGTACATGCAAGTCGAAGGGATTGCTACAATGAAATTTTTTCTCCTGTTGTAAAGCATTTTTCTATTCGTGTTATGTTAGTCATGACATCTATGTTTGATCTTGAGTTGCACCAACTTGTTGTCAACACAGCGTTCCTTCACGGAGAATTGGAGGAGAAAATATATATGGAGCAACCAGAAGGATTTAATGTGCAAGGTAAAGAGAATCTGATATGTAAACTTAAATGATCTATTTATAGGTTGAAACAGTCTCCTAGGCAATGGTATAGGAGGTTTGATTCCTTTGTGGTGCATGTTGGCTACATGAGAAGCAGTTATGATAGTTGTGTTTATTATAAGATGCTTGAA